GCTATCCAATTCGTTCGAAGCATTTACCTTTGAGCAGCTGATGACGCGATTCTGCCTGTCTCATGCCGGACGCATGAGAAAATGGAAGAGTTGCCAGTCTTCTTGATATGTTGTCTTCGCTTAAAGTGAACATTTTATATGATAGATGAGGAGATGAAAGTATAGAGTTGATAGTTCCGTTGTAGTACGGTAGTGTGAAAATTGTATATAGAAAGTAGAAGTAGAAAGCGAGCAAAGGACATTTTTAAGGAAGGTACGAATCAGGTAGAGCAATGAGGTAGATGTTTACGTCAGATGGCGATTTGAGTGTAAAACAATTGATAGAACTGTTTTCGCACATCGGAGGCACATGAGCAAATTAGCGATTATCCCTTTTACCATGAAACACCCCTCACTATACCTCATCAACGGATGAATTTGGTAAAAAGGATGCTCTACCCGATTCGTACATTCCTCAAAAATTTTTAAGCCCCCTTTTTTACTTTCTATATACAATTTTTACACTGCCGTAGTACAACGGAACTATTAGCTGTATACTTTATTCAAATGTCCACTTTAAGTCTGATATTCAGCATCTCCAACTACGAAAATAATCTATGAAAGAATGTTGTCCATTGTTTTGCAAAGAATTTCAAGAATGCAATATTATTTTTGTTAGGCTTGTTTCAGAAGCAAATTTAAGAGACGAGTGGAATAATTTTAAAAAAGTTCTTGAGATCATTCTGAAAAAAAAATATGAAATATTCTTAGCGAATTATCAAAGTTATATCAAATTTTTAAAGATGTGAAAAGCAGAATTAAATTCAAGATTCTCGAAAAAAAATGCTATCGTCGTAATGATCTATTTAACCCTATTTAAGCTGGCTTATTATGTTTTATTGGTTTATACATTAAAGTTAACGTATATCGCTCAACCAGTAACATTTTAAAAAAGATCTTTGTTAAAATCTGGAAATTGCACTTCAAATGCTCTTAATAGGAGATTCCGTTGAGAGTTTCGATATAATTAGAGGAATACATGAAATGTGATTTTAAGTTCCATGACAAAAACAGTTTATTTGAATATTAAACCCTATTTGAGTTTCTGAGTCATCATATAAATGTCACTATTGGCTACTTATTTATTATTTAAAAGTCACTATTTGGTTACAATTTCCGTAATTTTAGTCACTAAAGTCACTACTATTATATCGCATCAGCACTACCAGCCCTGCTATTCTGTATTATTGCTGAATAAATTAGTTCTTTGCTGAAGTGAGGGGCTAGGCTGACATTACATCCCGTAACGCTATATATTTTTAGCCAGAAAGGCTTTACTTGTCTAAACAACTTTGCCTCAGACGTCATTTCCCTACAATTTAAAATTACAACGCAATTGAGCAATTTTCCCTACGAATTCGCAAATCGGTCTATTTTTTTTCCTTGATTTGTTTTCCGTCGATCTTGTTTTCTGTGCTGAGCACCAATGCTACCGACGGCCAGGAAGGCAGCTCCCACACCTGGACCCTACCTATCGACCCCATCAACTCATGAACTAGGGACCAACGGCTTTACTTCCCATCCGAAGGAAAGCGTGATCAGAGATGTTATGCCTCAGAACATCCAGGCGGCGCCGACTGGGATTGAGCCCAGGCCTGCTGGGGTGAGAGGTAATCACGCTTACCACTACACCACCGGCGCCGCTGGGGTCTATTTTTGTATGTTTTGATTAGGTTGAAATTTTGCAGAAACCTTCCTTATGACCGACAATGCCATTTTGCATCTTTATATCACCATTTTGAATCCAGCCTTATTTTTGAAAAGGGCATTAGAAAAATATCAAGCTTATCTTCAGAAAAAAATTACTCGAAAACTGTTAGCCCGATCGGTTTAGCGTCTTCGGTAATATTTCAGACAATAGATGAGACTATTTGAAAAAATATGCATTTTAAAAAATACCCAACTTTTTTTTTATTTTCAAATAAAATCTTTAAAAAAAATTTCTTAAAAAAGGATTTTTTGTTTTTTTTTTTTATTTGTTGATATGTTTTAGGGGACAAAAACATGCCATCTATTGCACTATAGGTCAAGATGGAGAAATGATGAACAAAGTTTTTGGAACAAATATCCAAAACTTGCTCCAATTACTTTTTCGACTTTATATAATGAAAGTACACCAAATTTACAATAAAATAGCACCTAGGTAAAATTTTACTAAGTCGCAACGTTTTCGAGATGTAGCGGTTTGAAAGTACCGTTCCGATTCAAATTTCGGACGATTCAAATTTCGGACACTTTCATTTTTAATTAAATATTACATCCAGTTAGAAATAAAGTAATAATGTTAGATGATCGTGGAGGGCACTAGTCAAAAAAATTTAAAATTTACAAGACATGTGGATCATATTCGACCGAGATAATCAACTTTTAAAAGTGTCCGAAATTCGAGTTTAAGTGTCCGAAATTTAAATCGGCACGGTAGATATTTTTAAAATTTGAGATATTTGGTTTTTAACAATTTTTAATATTAATTTCAAATAAATAAATAAAATTCTCTTAACGTATCCTGAAAGTCCGGTCAAGTAGCCTATGGTTAGCAGTTTGGTTTTAAACATGAGCATTCTACGGAATATGTAACCGCAACGCATATGTGATCATAATTTTATTTTTTCACTTTTCCAGTAGCCATTTACGATCATGAATTAATCTTTTAGTAGCACATTGGATAAGGAAACATGCATAAATTACGTAGCATTTGAGGGGGAAAGGAGGGTGGGGTTTGAGAAATTGTGACGAACCTTGCATTCGGTATAGCAAAATATGCTACAAGGAAGGAGAGGTTCTAAAATGTATCAATGATATGCTACGTCATTTATGGATGCTCCCTAACGATATTTGGTGCACACTTATGATTCTGGAAGAAAGAAATCCTTACATAATCTTCTTCAACGGACGAAATTAGAAGCTTCACATGCCAGCTAGCTATTTGCATAATACGCGCTCTTCATCTCTTAAGGTGTTTCGCTGTGAGATCCTTATTCTCGTTACCACTTCGAAACTTTAAGTGCATACATATCAGCTTCCACGATACGTACTACAATGAAACTGTTACTCTATAGCAACAGCAGTAGCAATTTCAGATGAAATTGGGCTATAATTCCCGAGATTTGTGTAATTGAAAATTCGAGGTGGAAGTGCATTTATAGCCTACGTGGCCGCCATTTGTGTACTCCACAAAGAATCACCTTAAACTGCCTAATCACAAAGTGAATCGCTGTCCTGAAACCCTTCGGCATGGAATATCATGATGCTTCATGCACTGCAATCTGTAGATCATCAGTATAACCATATCAACCATTTCATTAAATAAAAACGTACCCTGCCGTACCTCCTGCAGTGGGCGTTGACACTATCCAATTCCGTTACAGCCCGTCGTCTATCATGGCTTGTTATTCAATTGACTCGCGAGCAATTGGCATCCGACGCTCGCCGGACCATAAGCTAACTGCATCAGAGTCGAGAAATCAAATTTATTATCTGCACCCCGACTTGACCCGAAAGACAATAAACAATCCCACACCAAACAACCGTCACCGCGCGCCGTCTTGACGTTCGTCTGTGTAGGGATCCTACCACGACTCCACGACAAACTTTTCCGTCCGCATCAGACACAGACTCGAAGCTGCGAGATCCATAGGGGTATACCTACCTATATGTTGATAAACAAACAAACATCTCGGATTGAACTTTTCCCAGGAATTTAGGATTCAAATTGCAGTTCCCGTTCCGACACGCTCGGCCGTTTTCGTATTATCGAAAGACCGATTGGGCAAAGCAAGTGGGGTAAAACTTTTTCGGCAACAAATTTAAAGTCTATCAAAAGTTGAAAACTCACTTTGCTGCCTTCGGTTCCGGGATGTTGCTGCTTTCTTATGCAAACTGACTGTGTTCTTGTGCATATAGCAAATGGGAATTTAAATATTTCTAAATCAAAATTTGTGAAACATCATAAATAATGCATTCGGTCTTTGCCGGTACGACGGTGTCTGACTGTGTGCGTATTTTGTAGTCGGTCCGAGAAATATTTTTTCCGCTCGTGTTTGCATCAGTAAACGGAGCCAAAAATGAAGAAAATGAAACATTCATTGCGCAACAAGGACCAAGCGAATCTTGCAAGCTATTTCGACAAGAAAATGACAAAACGTTCACATTTTCATCGTGAGCAATTTCCATGCACTAGAAGACATGCTACAGGTGCGGGGTTGCCAGACATATGGATCACTGTCTCAAGCTGTATTTCTAGACCACCGTTTGGTAACCCTATCTCGCTCACAGTGTACCCTTGCCGGTCCATTCCAGTCTTGACATTTCGCTTTGACCCGTGACCTACAGCCAGCGGAAGTGGAAAACCATTCCGAGATCCTGGTCCTCTGGCCATGATACGACCGCAGATGCAAAGTATTCAACTAATTTTGAAAGCAATTTCGCCGCTCCCACTATTTGATGCTACATGCCACAAGAATGTATGTAGCAACATTGTGCACAAAAGGACATTATTTTGGTCTTTTTCTGTGCGCTTTCGGGGGACTTTTCCTCCTCGCTCTGACGACGATGGAGTGTTGCTCTTTTTCCCAAGCTTTGGAAAAATGTTATTAAGGTAAACGTCGCTGCGCAACAGACGGTGTATATATCATCTTATGGATGAATGAAGGTAATTTATTTTGGAGGTCATTACCTTTTCGTACCTTCGTCGGACCATTAGGAGGACTTGTTGCCTGGATGGAAATAGCTCCATTCATGGCTCATTAATCACGTTACTGTCACATGAAAAGTGCTCCCTTTTCCATGGAATATTGCTCATTATAAGGGACACAAAACGAAGCTAAACTAATAAGCCTTATTATTGAACGACCAGTGCCACAGCTGTGTGTCGTAGGTCTTATAAAAATAAATTTTCCCATTCCTATTGTAATTCTAAGGTATCGGTATTAATTTGTACTTTCCTAATTTTCTCTCAACAGCTTCCACACAGTGCACAGCAACGGCAGGAACTGCCGCATTCGGCCGGACGAGGGGGTGCCGCCGCTATAGTCGAGGACGATGATCAGATAGTGGACGAGGAGGAGATCGATACAAATTCCAACAACATGGGCGACCAGGGAGGCTACGATAGTTCGATGCCCCGAACTTATCGGCCGCAGGATCTGAAAAAATGGCGCCCTGCACCGCATGTGGGCGAGAACTACGGGAAGCCCGGTGAACTCGGTAAGTAACATGTTCAGTTTACTGCTGAGGTCGTTACTTTTTCCTTTTTTTGCTCCTTCATTGCATTACATTAGTTGTTAGTAAATTTAGTTCACCTGGAGCATGCTCTTTGGAGTGTTTAAAAGCGTCTGATGTTGACCTGTAGATCAAAAGAGTGAGTCGATCGATAAAATCCGTTGGTTTCATTTTGTTCTATATGAGTGCGATTCCTGAACTAAAATAGTTCTAACTTTTGAGTTAGCAAGGAACCTTTAGGCTGGAACATATTTGTTTTATTCGGGTCATTATCACAGCGACCGATTTTTTTTTCATACATATATATTTTGTGATATGGCCATTAGGGTAGGTCAAGTTATGGCTGATAGCAACCTCCTGCTCTCCACAGATTTTTCGATTTATATTGAGGTCCACCTCAACTGTGCCAAATTTGAATTACGGATTTATTCAAAAATTAAATTCCGTACCTTTTTTTTTCAAATTCAAAATATCAACAACAAAAATCTAAGTCCAATCTCTCACTTTCCAAAATTTGGCTTCTGAATCCCAATAACCTTCAGAATCACTCCAGCAAAACCTGATCAACCTTTTGTATGTTTCACCAGTTGACATTTTATCTCGGACCAAAGCATGGTTTAATTCAATTTCAATTCAGAGCTTCAAATCCATGTCAGTCGTATCTCCACATTTTCAGAGCTCTATTTTCCGTAGCAAATTACCTCTGGCGTAATTTTGAAGCACAATCAGATTATTTACTCACTTGAACACAACCGAAACGGAACTGGCGTTACTTCATCCTCAACTCTTGCATACCCACACAGCTTATCTAACACTTTTCCATCCCCTCACTATCTCACAGTTTCCAGAATAATCATATTATCTCCACACAAAACCAGAGATAACAAGTGAGACCTGCTATCAATCAGGACGTTGATTAAGCATTGCCCGGTCTGCTCAGTTTTCCCTGCTACTAAATCAATATCGTCCCACAGCACTGGCCACACACCTTCTTGGCCGAATTTTCAAATTAATCCTTTTCTCCCACCATCATGCTTCTCGACGACTACATAAATAAATCCCAACGCCAAGCAGATGCTGATACATGATGAAGGATATGTGCTACATTGCTTGTTCGTTCTATGATTTTCCACAGGCAAGCCGGTGAAAACCCCTCCCAGCCAGCAGGAGCTAATGAAGGAGAAGTTCAAGGAGAATCAATTCAACCTACTGGCCAGTGACATGATCTGGCTGAATCGGTCACTGACGGACGTGCGGCATCACGAGTAAGTACCATCCTTCTTCCTATATAGTTTTTGCATAAGATCAGTCTAGTACCGGGTAGAATACAAATGAGCGCCTATCCATACGTTCGTGGTACGATGTCCTGTGTACTCTATTCATTTAACCACATCATGATGAAAACGCGCCTTGGAAAACACGGACGAAATGGACAAAGCGCAGCGGGCGTACAATCTCTCTCCTCGCTGGATGTTAACTTGACGTCTAAATTGAATCAATCTCTGCCACCCCCTTCAATAATGTTTAACTGTGGAAATGGAAGAGGCTCTTGTAATAATGCAGCTCGTTTCTATCAGACCCGCTTGGAGTAGGTACACGTAGGATTCACTGCGTGGCTTTTGCGGTGCGGCACATGACATGAGAGGCTCAATCTGTAGATCAATCAATTGTGCAAACATACACACACACGAAAGAACGACAAGCAAACCGGTGACAGTAAGAGAGACATCAGAGTCGCTTCAATCGGGACATCACGTTTACAATTGACGTCTTTATTTATGGTGGGATGGTAGATATCGTCTATTTCCGAACTATTGGCTCATTGATTGGCTTTCTAAAAAAAAAAGTCGAACGGGAGAGCGTTCGAACAGGAATGGAAAATCTAACACCCTCTAGAAGAGACAATCGAATGTTCGCGCCCTGTGAATAAGATCGATGACTGATGGGTTCTGTATTGACTGCGCGAGTCAATCAAAGCTATGTGGATTTGTTGATATAGAGAATAATTTTAGTTTTTTTTTTTCTTGATTTGTTTTCCGTCTATCTTGTTTTCCGTGGCACTTCCGGCACTGGGTGAGGTTTTGGAAACACACGTTCAGTTTTGATGTCGTAAGTGCAAAATTTGTGTTGCTTCTGAGGAAGATACTTGAGAAGACGTTTGAATCCGTCCGAGGATTCAGCCAATACACGGCATTCACCCCGACGGCCGATTTGAAGTGAAAACTTGAATTTAACGAAGTTCAAAAGTTCAGTGCGAAGAGCATGCAAATCGGAAGTGGTTATCACAATAGGGGGGACATTTTCTTTCTTGGCATTGAGCCGGGAATGTTTAATGGAATATTGTCTGGATGATGGATCATTTTCATCATTCGTGGGCACATTAAATTGATTGCTCAAATAAATTTCATCAAAAGGGGGATCAAGAGATTGCCCTTTTTATTGCGTTTAAGCGCCATGGCGGCAGTGAAACTTTTCTCCAAATCGACTTCCAAGCAGATTACTATAAGAATCTGAAGGATCGAAGAGGAATTTTCCAAATCGATATCCAAGAAGGATCACCTCGGGTAGGGTCCAAACAAGGATCGAAGAGGAATAAGAGTTGAACAAGGTAGAAATTTTACAGGTTGAGCACTGAAAAGTGCTGTTTAAATTTGTTGTAGCTTTAGGTAGTAGTAACACTTCCTTGAAATAGATCAACAAAAAGTAAATAGAACCGGTTTGGCTTATTATTAAATAACCGGGATGGACACCCTGACACCGTTGGTGGAGGTCATCTCCTTCGCGTTTTCAAGGTCTTTAATCTCGTCATCCAGAAGTTGTGTGGATTTCATAATTTAAAGCTATGCCCGCTTCCCTGCAACAAACACTGGGTTTTATTTTAATCTTTGTACATTGAGGATGTTAGGGTCATTTTGTATGGTTGTTTCAGCATTTTTTCGACTGTTTTGACGTTTTGAAGGCATTTTGATTTTTTAAAGACATATTTGACTTGTTTTTCTAGTGCTATTTTTAGTGTTTAGAACTATTCTGACGTTTTAAAGGTAATTTTGGAGATTTCAAGGCGTCTTCAACATAGGTGGGTCAAAAATTTAATGAATTTATCTGCTGTTTTCGGCAATTATTCAAAGTGTCAGAATCCTAAAATTTTGCCTAAGTTCACGTTTTTTTAAATAATCTGAAATCTTAAAAATTACGCAATATTTGGTGTTTTCAATTTTTCGATGTCTTAAATCTCGAATAGCTCAAGAATGTTAAAAACTGGATTACCTACCCTCAAAACCTTATATATTTTTTTAATCTTCAAAAATGTTCACCCGAAGCATCAAATGTTATTCCGTAGAGCTCATTGTTGTCTAGAAAAACTGATAAGTTCAATTTATCACGTTAAAACATTCGGCCTAATGCCCTTCGAAAAATGTACATGTAACTTATACAAATTCCAACATACAAATTCTAAGAATTTTACAAACATTTCACATTTCAGACTTAAATTATGGAACATTATCTGAAAATTTGTTGGTATCTTGACAACTAATAATTTAAAAAAAATGTACATTATTCCGCAAACGATTTGATCTTTTAAACCAGGCTGCCCAACGTACGGCCTGCGAGTCGCATCCGGCCCACAGCCCCATTTTGTGCGACCCGCAACAAGTTTAGCAAAACTTCATCCTTGCGAATTTCGGTTTCTTAGCTCAATATGCAACGAGTGTTGGAGAGCAGCGACTTTTCCGGCCGACGGGATGCAGTGAGTCTTAGTGAAGGTCCCAAAGAAGGGGGATCTGACTGTGTGCGACAATTGGCACGGCATCATGTTGCTGTGTATTGTTCCAAAGTTCTGTGCAAAGTTATCCTGAATCGGATACTGGAGAAGATCGATGCGACTCTCCGATGGCAGCAGGCAGGAATCATCCTGGAGCAGGTCAATGAATTCCAAGAGTCCCTTTATTTGGTATTCAATGACTACGAAAAAGCTTCCGACCAACTCAATCACGTGAATCTGTGGGGCGCTATGAGACGCAAGGAAGTCCCGGATAAAATCGTCAACCTCATATCGAAGCGCAGTATCAGGCTTTCACGTGTAGAGTTCTGCATAACGGAGCCTTGTCTGACCCTATCCGGGTATTTGCTGCTGTGAGACAAGGATGTATACTATCACCGCTACTGTTCCTCATCGTAATCGACGAGATCATGGTGGGTGCAATTGACCGTTTACCGAACCGCTTTGGCAGCCTATCACCATGGCTTCATGGCTCAACGACTTCGGTTTGACTTATGATGTTGCTCTACTACTCACCCCAGCAGGCCTGGGTTCAATCCCAGTCGGCGCCGCCGGGATGTTCTGAGGTATAACATCTCTGATCACGCCTTCCTTCGGATGGGAAGTAAAGCCGTTGGTCCCCGGTTCATGAGTTGATGGGTCGATAGGTAGGGTCCAGGTGTGGGAGCTGCCTTCCTGGCACGTCGGTAGCATTGGTGCTCAGCACGGAAAACAAGATCGACGGAAAAAAAAAACAAACCAAAGGTTGCTCTACTAGCACAACGGTGCTCTGATATGCAGAGTAAGCTCAGTGACCTAACCGAACGATGCTCTGCGGCGGGTCGCACCATCAACGTCAACAAGATCAAATCGTTGGATTGATTGATTGATTTATCTTTATTTAGGAGGCTTTCAGCCTGAGGCTGGTTCGCTTCCAAATAAAATCGTTGGATGTCAACTAGCAATGGGCGATCTGGGATTGAAACACAAAATATCGATTCTTTTGGTTCAATTAATCGATTTTTTGAATCGATCTCAAACACGACAAAAATCGATTGGATCGATCCTTTTCATTTGATTTTTGTTTCGATCCAAAACAAAATTGTCAGTGAATTTGCATTTGCAATTTAATATTGATTTTTTTTTGTTTTCACTTTTGTACATCACTTACCTTGGATATGAATTCTGCAGTGAGCATGAGCATGATTGACCGCCCACGGTTGCTACTCTGTTATTGCCAGACCAGCTGTAATTACACAGAGAACCAATAGACGATGCTTGGGACTAGCAATCATCCTCAATGTGGAAAAATTGGTGATCTCAAACTAGGAAATACCAGCGCCGGCCGAACACAGGTCAAGAAAGGAAGGGGTAGGAATGTGTTGACGTGACACTCGCTTTTATGGAAGCCGAGAACACCTCTGCACTTCTACGAGGAATCACTGGGATATTGGGTAATAGGGTTGGGTTTGCAGCAGGGTTCGTTTTGGTAAACGATAAGCTGAATTGATGTCCTAACAATCATATAACGCGAAGGAGCTTGGGATTGAACCCACGGTCTTCTACTCAGTAAGCAAAAACGTTTGCCACTAGGCAAACGAGCTCCTTTTTAATCATCGAGTTGCTGTTATTACCATGTAGTCATGTTAACAAATAAAACGATTGACGAATCTTGAATGTGGATGGGTTTGAGATTAGACTCATGATGTTCTGCTCAGTAAGCAAAACCGGTAGTGCTAAGGCCACCAAGCCCCTCATATCACATTATAGCGTTACTCAAGTTTTTATGACTATTCAGACCCGGCACCGACGACAACGAAAAGTTTTAGAAAATAACCATACATTTTGAATATGAAAGGAATCTAGGACCACGTTTTTCTGCTCAGTAAGCAAGCCACGGCAACGGACGATCTTTGAAATTCTTAAACTAAAAGCTACAAAAGAGGCCTTTATTAAGATCCATTTTCACGCGACGTTAAATGTTTCGATTTTTTCTTTACGCATGGTTCAGGTAATCATAACAAGCTATGACTGACGTGACGATTGTTTAAGACCTAGTTGAACAAGCTATTCAAATGAAATTACGTTTTCGAATTTTACTTGGCATGTAATGAACAACAGAAATACGCGATAATTCATATTTTCAGCGGTTGGTGGTTAATTTTAAATATGCCTACGACTACGACGGCGATTACGACAGCGACTACGACAACGACAACAGCGAATTTGTAACTTACTATTTGTCTAGGATAAACACCTTTGCCCGGCACCTCCACTGGTTCTTCATGTCCGCTATCTGTCACTGTTTGCAAAATATCTAATAGCAATTACCTTCCAATACCAATACTTCCTGTATTGCCATGGTTATCTGGGAGGAGGGTCGCATCTAGTGCTTTCCCCAGGAACCGTTCACGGCCACCAGCTACTGCCCGTCCAGTCTTGGGCGTATCCAGCGAGGCATCCTTCAGATTACTTACAATCTCCGACACTCAATGCAAATCGCAGGCATAGTTACGCTAGTTACAAATAAAAAAACCCGAATTTATCCACCTATGGTGTGATCAGACCCTTCTTACTTATTCAAGTTTATTTATTTTATTGTCATTATCAGTGACCAAGCCCCCCACCCCCGTGTCATCCAGTGACGCTACGCCACTGCCTGGGGGTACCCGGAATATATCCGGGTGTAGTCTATTTGGTGAGGCTACCAATCACCTTATCATCGTATTTTAATGTGATTTAATGGGTTTTAATTCAATTCATATTCAAGCAACTTCCCCGGGGTACCCGGAACATGTCCAAGTGTGTCCAATGTGGTCTGGAACACTTAACACGACTTGCATTGATCTTATTTTTGAATTCTGTAGTAATTTGATGTGTCGCATGATGGTTTTGATACGTTTTCCGTTAAATCCAGCGTGAAGGCCCATATTCACCGGATCTTATTCCGGCCATATCTCCGAAACCGGTTCACCGATTCCAAAACCGTTCAATAACGTTCAATGGGACCCCAAGACCTATCATTTGGCGCCGAATTAGTCCAAATCGGTTGAGCGGTTGCTGAGAAACGTGAGTGCATTCATTTCGTTACATACACACACACATACACACATACACACATACACACACACACACACACAGACATGTTCCGATCTCGTCGAGCTGAGTCGAATAGTATATGACACTCGGCCCTTCGGGCCTCGGATCGATAGTCGGTTTTTCAAGTGATATCTATACCCTTCTTTGTAAGAAGGGTAAAACACCCGTGCAAAGAAACGGATCAAATGAAACGTCTATGAATTCTGCAAACAACCAGTGTGACAAGAACCAGAGACGTTAAATAGATACACGCATAGACTGAAGCGAGAAGAACCAAACGAACCGTCAAACGCCGAACCAAACGAGCATAAAAAATAGACATTACTGTTCGCTCAATGCACCAGAAAGGAGTATTGTTATCAATGTTGAGAAAAGTGTTTAATTATTTTCACGAAATATTTGATATCTGTTATTTATTTATTTATTGTTGATGCAATTAAATACAACATTTATTAGTGATAAAAAATTGAATCGGAAAGTTTTATTTAGTTTTATGGTAATAAAAATCATTGCACTGCAAGCAAAACAGGAAAATATGACAAAACTTATACTGTCATGGAGCTACTGTCATCTCTCGTCTTCGCTTTATTTTTGCAAAATGATGCCGCGCACTTCATCTTTATTCAGTTCCGGTCGAACGTTCAAATTTTCTTAACAGCATTGTGCGACACTGCATGAAAGTCATTTAAAGACACTCGAAGAAACATGGTTGCCAGTGACATTGCCAAACGATCCTTCAAAATCTGTGCTGCTGTTTCGACAGAAATTTTCATTGCGCGTCCCTATCAACGTCTCTGGCAAGAACGAGAAAGAGAAAGTTTGAGGCTCCAGAGACTTTTATAGACCTTTTTGACGTTTAATTGTCTTTCTCTGTCTAGCACACATGGATGAACGGACGATTTAAATGGCGCAGTAGTTTGCGCCGATTAAACATCAGAAAACTCTATAATCGTCTCTCTGTACGGCATTGTACATCGTCTCGTATAGTACTTCGCATTCTTTTCCACTTTTGTCTTTCACACGAGAAAGTCACACGTCTCGCTCTGTCAGAGGAGCTATTCCCTTAAACTGGTGAAACCACACAGAATCTAAATCGGCTCAATGCAAAACGCATAGCTCAATTAGCTTTCTTGGGATCCCTCTCGGATGAGTTTTGGGATATCTGAGTTAATTACTTTCCGTACTTACCTGCTTTTACACTCCGACTATCTAATCGTTTCGTTTAAAATGTTAATCTATTGTTTTTTTAAATCGTTCATTTAATACCAATGAAACTAATATTATAACCTGTTAAATCACTCACCTAATCAAGTATCCTGAGCAAAAACTTCCACATATCAAATGGAATCAATATAGTCATTTACTATATTCTCATCATGTATGTATGTTGCACTCACAACTTTACTGCGTACGTACTACACAATTTATTTCTAAATGATATCAATCACCACACTAATTGGCCATTATAAGTGAAATGTCATAACAAGATAGCTTATGTAACGTAATATCAACTTTAGATTGAACTTGGCGTTAATCCTATGATCCGTTATATTTGAAACTTAACCCATTTTGAAAAAAGAATCGTTTCAAAAGATTGAGTCAAAAAAGATCGATTCAAAATGATTGATTAAATCGGTGAATCGATTATTTTCAAAAAAAAATGAATCGATTAACTAAGATCGATTCTTGCCTCAAGATCGCCCAATGCTAAGTCAACACGGACAACCCTTCTAACTATACGGTAGCGGGGCAAGCAGTGGAGAAGGTCGAAAGTTTCCAATATCTTGGCAGCGTCGGACGGCGGGACCAAGAGCGACATAGGTTCACGAATCAAGAAGGCTACGGCTGTCTTTGCGAGTTTAGGAAACGTATAAAGATCAAACCAGATAAGTCAACGCACCAAAATCCGAATTTTCAACTCCGTGAAATCTGTGTTGTTATACGCCAGGCGTAGTGTGTATCAGTGGAGAACACTTAGAAGCTGCAGGTCTTCATCAACAGATGCCTGTGGTATATAATTCGTGCCTGGTGGCCTCACAACTGGATCTCGAATGCCGAGCTCCATCGTCGATGTCATCAAACGAAAACGAAATCTGCAAGCAAGCACTGGATTGGAATCCGGCAGAACATCGCAGCAGATGCAGACCCACGGGCTCATGGTGGCGGAGCCTCAGCAAGGAAATAAAGCAAGTCGATAGGAATCTGATCTAGGTCCAGGTCAAGGCAAAATTGAGCAGTCTTTCACGGTGGCCCTTTGCACCTCCGGTGGTGTACAGGACCCTTAAGTAAGTAATTAAGTTGGAGAGCAGCCAATACTTTCAAGTTTTTTATTAAATAACTTAGCTGCTGACCGATGTGAGAAACCGCGTAAAAACCAACCAACCGAGATTGATTAATTCACATATTTAAACATTTTTAAATGTTTTGATTCTGATAGCTCATGTAATTTTAGCATGCTAGGGTCAATAAACACATTATTTTATGTGTCTGGATTTACTTTCTATATATTTGTAATTTTTTTTACGTACGCAATTTTATTACTTTTGTCTCAAATCAGATAATGTGATAACAAAAATGTTAAAAACCGGCTCCAATGTATATTCAAATTTTCTAGCCCGCCAGCTGATATGGATTCTAACGTTGGGCAGGCCTGTTTAAAACCATGCATTGCGGGAAATAATTATGTCTGTCCTTTCATGGGTTCATTTCTTTATTACCGAAATTTCAAACATCTGCTAAAATCCTCCTCTAAACCTCTAAAATCCTCCTCTAAACCAATGCATTGCAAATCACCGTTAACCCACAGCACTTTGGCAAATGATGCAGTACTGCGAAATATCAATTGTGGTACCTACTGTCACTGCCGTTCAAGATAACACCTGGTATGCAGTAGCAGCTACCCCCACGTAGGTATTGGTTACCACAGACCGCGATGAATAAAATATGGGCTAAATGGATGCTAGATGAACGGAGTCAGTGCCATCCGGGCCAACAACACAGCAGAGCCGACACGGACCTGACACCGAAGGTGCCGGAGGGGCGGACAGGTTGCTTGCAACTGCTCTGCTGAAGCTAAAGCTCAAATCACACTGTCAGGGCCCCAAGGTAGTAGTAGGAGCGAGCGACACGGCAGACGGTAGTATTCTTCTGACAGGCAGCAGCCGGAGAATTGAGAAATATCTGTTGCTGCCTGGCCGTTGGACGTGTGCGCTGCAATAGAACTACGTGGTAAATTTCGGTTCAAAAAAGGATCCACTCCCCAGAGTCAGTTTGCCTACCGAACGTGGCGTTTAACGTCGCTTTCGTTTTCCATTTTTTTCTTTTTTTGAATTTGTGGGACGGTGCATTGGAAGCAACATAGCGGTATCAACTGGTGTTGAAGATTGGATGGCGTGATTCTTATTTGTCATTGTTTTTGGCTTCGATGTCGAGATGAATGAGTTGGATTGCTAGAATGAAAGCCAGAATCAACAAACCAACAAACACGTTTTCGCCAATCATTGACTTGAACTACGATGTTGTATGCTGCACGTGATGTCAGTACATCATCCGTAGATGTGACATCCTTTTCAGAATCATAATTTACCTCGGTGTCAAGTCGTTTCACAAAGATATCGTATCTCATATTCGTTGGCTGGAGGGCAGTTTTAAATTTGCGTTGTATGCGAAAATTATATTCATGAGATGAGGTGATGTAAGGTGTGTGTGATTTATAATATCATTCGTCTTCTTGGAACGCTACATCTTACGTGAACCTTTCGTTATATTTACATTTTTGCGGTTGTTGTTTGAAAGCTTAATCACCACATTTCATTGGTCGTTTTGAAACATCACGCTGAAACCTCAAAACGATTCAACGCCCAAACAGAGCTTTGAATTAACGACAAAAACCGATATCGTTCTGTTTGCCTTTCTACTTTCATTCCAAATGCCATCTCCCGAATCAGGCTAAAGAAAAACAACACAGCAAACGTCCAAGTTTGCAAATAATTAACGCTAATTTGATTACCCCCTTTATCCAGCACCTCCCCTTCCATGACTGTTGACACAGTTTGTTTGTCTACCTCTGAATCTGTTTTCCTTTGCTATATTCCGAACTTCTTCAAAGCCGAGATTCATGCAAAATTAAACCACAGCTCGTTGTCGAAGCGGAAAAATCATTTCTCAATCATGCTCACGTTCTCCTCTTTTGCTTTTTCAGCTGCAAAAAGAAACACCACCCGGCCAAGCTGCCAACCACCTCGATAGTGATTGTATTCCACAACGAAGCCTGGAGTACCCTGCTGCGAACGATCTGGAGTGTCATCAATCGGTCGCCCCGACCGCTGCTCAAGGAGATCATCCTGGTCGACGATGCCAGCGAACGGGAACACCTCGGCAAGCAGCTGGAGGACTACGTCGAAACGTTGCCGGTGCATACCTACGTCTTGCGAACCGGCAAGCGTTCCGGACTGATCCGAGCGAGACTGCTCGGTGCCAAACACGTCAAGGTGAGTGCTAAAATAGAGTTACATTTATTCGTCTGAAATGTCTAAACTACAGGCACGATCGTAATCGTCCAGCAACATATCCTTGATTGATAGTTCGAACATTGTTAGTGAGCAGGGTTTCCCACAGTTTGGGATGTCTATAGGGGTGGGAGAGCTTGTGTCAGGGTTCCGATAGTGCAGCATTCGTACTTCCATGTCGCTACCCAAAGAGTTGTATAGTTCAAAGATGACCGCCGCGCCAAAAGCTGGTCTTTCCTCCAGTAGTGACTGGATTCCCATCGTGTTGAATAAATTGGTCATGGCTACGTCATGGGTTGAGTAGAAGAGGAGTCGTTGATTGTGCTTGGATTTCATTTTTCCCAACAACTCGTTCAGTATTGCACCTCCACGGATGCGCTTAAGATCGTCAGTTGCGCTAAAAGTCAGTTGGTAACCACGAGCAAACTCATTAGTCCTGTTTGGAAATACTTCGACTGCCCAATCCGGCAGGGTCAGCCCAAAGTACTCCACAACTTCAAGGTTATCGCATATTTCGAATAAATCACGCATCGAGTCAATTTCTGATCCGGTTCGTTGCGATACAAAGTCCTTCAGTTCGAAACCATCCTTGAGCCACAGCCTGGACTCCGGAGGAGGATCAAGCAAAAGTTTCTCCCTAACAGCATCCAATTTGGGACACACTCTTCGCTGGCCAAGAATCTGAAATTGGATCATTGAAAATCAATGTTACATAAATTAATGTAATATAAATGTATACAGTATCCTGCGAGCGATCCAGAACAGTAACCGGAACCGGTTGCCACGCAATTGTCATGTTTATGGCACCCGCAGGAGGTTCGTAGAATGACGCCAGTAAACTTTGCGCCGATAGGATGCAACGTTCGGAAGCACTACTGAGTACCGTGGTTGTATCCCAGGTGTACATTCCATGCTTGGGGATCAGCCATCCGTAGCGATTGCGAAGGGTGTGGCCCAGTTTGTACATGCGTTCAATTCCTTTCTAGAATATAGTTAAGGGTTAGTCGGTTGTGAGGGTATTTAAAATTATATGCTTGTGACGCAAATCATATATACGTATCTACGAAATCGACATTCCACTATTTATGATGATAACGAGAATTCAGCTGGAAACAATATTTACACCGTTATTTATTGAGTTTCATAGGTGTAGTTTGTAGTTCACATATGTAGTTTGAAATTAAATTGCTGTAGAAGTTGACAAGGGGGACTCCCATTTTAATTTTAATCTGATTTTAGATGGTTGCAGTCTTTGGCAAAGTTATAGAAAATATTATTTCAAGTAAAATATTGGCTTTAAAAAAACCTCAAAAAAATATATCAAATATAACATGGTTACATGGGTTGCTTCCACTCACTTGAAAATGTTTTTCGGAATTATGAAATTATTGGATGGTATAATGATATTTTGTACTTGTAAACAGGGCGTCACAATATCAGTTTCTATCGCAGGGTGGCAAGTGAACCAGGAAAACCAGGAAAAAGTCGGGAATTTATTTTCACCAGGAAAACCAGGAATTTCATAGGTCCACCAGGAAAATAATCTTGTTTGTACAATTTAAATAGGTTTTAAATTTTATGTACGTCAAATTTTCTTTTTATAATCAGGTCAAAACTAACCATTTTGTTCAAGCTAAATCTTTCACACAACTAAACATTGATGAACAAAATTTACACTGAGAATTTAGTAAATATATTTTGTATTTATTTTTAATTTATTTTTTCTCGATTCAATTGCGTGTTTGATTTGTGCATAATTGATAGCAGACTTAAGCAGTGCCGACGCGTAACTATTTTGAAGTACCTGTTCAACATGTTCAATAAAAAAGTTCTATTTCTAAAAATTTCAGTTAAGGCTTTCGAACTTCATGCACGTTCTACAAAATTCGGGAAAGTCTTACAAGTTTCAGGAAAATCCTGTGAATTACTGTGATGACCTATGACGGTCAGGAAATCTCTCCGAACCTTCAGAGAGGTTCTACATATTTCAGAGAAGTCTTGCGAACTTCAGGGAAGTCCTTTAATCTTTGGGGAATAACTACGAATTTTACAGAATTTTCTACAGATTTAATGTAACTTCTACGACATTTAGGCATTGCTTAAAACTTAAGGATAATCCTATGACACTTATTGATTTTTTCCGAGCTTCAGAGAAGTCTTCAATACTCTTGGGAAGTTCTCTGAAATTAACATAGGTCTCCAAGCTCAAAAAAGTTCCTAGAACCTCCGAGAAGTCGATTGAGCTACGAAATTCATGGGAGCTCTCCAAACTTCAGGGAATTTCCAAGAAATTAAGGAAAGACCCACAAACTTTTGGAAAACCCTTCGATATTTAAAGCCTAATGAACTTCAGGGAAGCTCTTCTAAATTTAGGGTCCTTATATATTCAGTTAAGTCCTTCAAACTTCAAGGAAGTTCTCAGATCTTCGAGAAAGTTCTTCAAACTTGAAGGAAGTTTTACGAACTTCTGAGAATTTCTACGAACTTCGTGGAACTTCTACGATATTTAAGAAATTCCTATGAATTTCAAAAAACTCCGAACTTCAGGGAAGTCCTAAGATCTTAAAAAAAAAGTCCTTCGAACTTTGGAGAAGTCCCATGAAATTCAGGCAATACAAGCTTCAATGAACCCTTCAGGAAAGACCTTAACGCTTCAGGGAAGTTCTACGAACTTTAGGGAGTTTGTATGAACTTCAGCAGTCAGTCTTTTTATAATAAGAGTTATTAAACCAGCGTTGTTTATGAAATCTTTTAATCATATGATTTTGAAATCATGTTGTAAGCAAAATTCCGCTAAATAAGATCCCTAATCGTTGACAATTTGCGGAAAATTTAAACAAACTGGAAATCCATAAAATTGTTACAAGCAAAGGTTTGTTTAAAGAGTCCTCATTCATATCACACTTCGCAATTTCACCTTGAGATAAACTTTGGTTAAAAATCTCAATATTAAAGTTAAAAAAATCACAGTTTTAAAAACAGAAATCTCAAGATTTAGGGGCTTATATATCTCTAAATTTCAGACATTAGATAGGGTTCCGCGCTAGTCCGTCGTACCTCAGCTTTTCTTCGTCATACACCCCTCAAATCGTTCATTTTACAGGTTATCGCAAATGTTTCAGTGTCAATCGTAATTAATCTTGTAAGCAAAGATGTTTTTGCAAATAGAACGGAAATAGCTAGTAGGCTTCTTTACAGCAAACAATCAGATAAAGATTTCACGGGCATTCACAAGAACCTTAATACCTATTTTGGTTTGTGAAATTCCGCATTGCGCAAAGAATGATGGCAGAAGGATTCACTTTATTTTTTTTTGTTAAAAATTGTTTTTTTTTTAAGTACATGGTTTTAAAACAAGGAAATTTTTAAATCATTGACCAGGAAAACCAGGAAAAACCAGAAATTTCAAAATGGAAATTCACTTGCCACCCTGCTATCGGCCAAATCGATGCAACGAAGAGACTCTAGTGGTATTCGCATTATCCCAATTCGCTTGTAGGCAACTGGTGAACTCATATCAATAGCAAATTATCCCTGCATGAAAGTTCACTCATTAGTTTGTTCATCCGCTCGCTCACTGGGCGCGTCAGCTTTCTCATTTGAGGTGGCATGAATTTGATCCGTTATTCTGCTTCTTCTTCGCATTTCAAGCTTATTGTGATCCTAGTACAGGTTAATGCAACTATTTTCCTAAATTGGGTATGAGACAGGTACTTGTAGTAGGGTACGTACTAGACTGATGCAAAATTTGACTTTTTCGCTCCACAGTGCTTAAATGGTTTCAAATCGGGTCCTGATTAGCCTCCCAAAGTTACAACTCATTTGGTTGGAAACAAACTTCGCACAAGCTATTTGAAGTTTACATGTAAATTACTATGGGAAATCTCAAATTTTTGTTCATTGCCTTCTAGTCTTTTTCCATATTGAGCTGCGAAACAGTGCGATAGCCATTATTAAAGATAATTTTCTCAGCTACAACTTTGCTCAAGATCGTTTCTATGTCAAACGAGACAGGAAAAAGTTATTAATTATTTAAGAGATTGGTAAACTTATGACATGATCAAGCAGCTGCTCTGTAGGCAACACTGTATTTTGCAGTGTGACATAGTAGCCATGATATTTGTGTTCTATTCAACGCCCCAGAAACACCAATGTTGCCTGCTGAGCAGTTGGTTGAGCATGATAATTAGACATCAGCGCATTGAACCATTGATAAATTTCGATCCTTGCATTAAATCAAAAAGTGGTCTTCGGCAAAGTTGTAGCTGGGAAAATTTCCTACAAGTAAAGTTGAAAGTTTTTGAAGCAGACCGATATGGTGAATTATTAGATAGACATGAACAAAAATCTTGGTTTTACCATAGTAATTCCCATACAAACTTCAAATGGTTTGTGCCATCTCAGTTTCTCACCAAAAGGGTTCAAATTTTGAGAGGTTAGTCAGGATCCGTTTTGAATCGTTTAAGTATTGTGGAGCGAAAAAGTCAAATTTTGCATCAGTCTAGTACGTACTGGTTCACCACTCTAAAATTTTCACCAGGGATAAAAAGTTTTCAAGCATAAACAAAATCATTAGAAAAATTTTCATTGTAAATTCCTAATTTATCTTGCAACTTTCCTTCACTATGAAAATTTTCGTGGAAAACATTTTTCAAATTATATTTTTCATGCAGGGTGACCAGTGAACCAGGAAGCCGGGAATTCGACGCCTCAGGGAAAAAAGGATTTCGATGACAAATCGGAACCAAATATACTGCGACCGCTTCTCGAATGACCAAAGTAACATTTTGGACAGTGATAAAAAATCATGAAACTTGCACTGAGCTAGATTTTCAGGATAAAGTCACTTTGAAGCACCATTAAGAATTTTAGAATTTTTATTCAAAACAATTGTGTTGAGGAGATTTTTGAATTAATTTTAGAGATAACATCAAGGTATTTCAGAGAAAATTTTCAAGAATGTTTCAGGAATAACTTCAAAAGAGTTTTAAATAGAACTGCAAGTCAATTGTGTGAGTTCAAAGTAAGTTTTTTAAGTAGCTCTGAAGACTATTCTATGACGATTGTGGAGAAAATTCCAGGATTCGTGAAAAAGGGTAACAGTTCTACAATTTGAGGGTAAAATTCTAAAGAAATTCTGCGAAGAGTTAAAAGGGAATTTCGAGGATAGCTCCATGGGTATCTCGAGAAGAATTTTTAAGGAGAATTTTCAGAAGAATTCATAGGAGAGAGAAAAATTTTAAGATATTTTTTTTAGGAAAATAGCAATTCTATTCTAAGGAGGATTCAAGCGATTTAAATAAAATTGTGAATTCTTTGAAATGACTTTAAAATTTTAAGATAATCTAAGACTGGATTTCATGATTTTTATAAGTGTTCTGCAGTCAATTTTTGAAATGCTAAAAAATCAATGGATTCCCAGAGAGATTTTTTCAAATTTTAGAAGAATTCTGAAAAGAGCTCTTTGAAGGGAAATGATTCTAAATGCTGCTTGAAAACAATCCAATAAAATTCTGTACAGTGTTTTGAGCGAATTTTCGAGGTAGTAAAAAAATAAAGATTTTGAAACCAAATTCAAGATCCAGGATAAATGATGCTCTTAGTAATAACCAATTCAAGTATTTCAGCTCAATCGTATTTGGAATACTTAATTTAAATTTAATCGCACAACCGGGAAAAATCCTAAGTTCCGGGAAAAAACTAGGAATTTGCAAATCGAGATTTGTTGTTCACCATATTGTTATGCAGTATTGAGATGGTTTTCATTTTACTGTACATCTTTCTTTCTCCGATGCTTGGTTAATGAGCTATGAATATTTAAATTACGTGATGTCCGGGAAAATTCGAAAACTTCAACTAAAATGTACCGGGAAAATTAACCACCCTAAAGTTTTTAAATTTTGTTTCGTTCATATAACCATAAACTGTACCTCTTTGCGAAAAATTTCAAAAACAATTCTGAGACCCTTCGGCCCATTTTGT